GGGTAAGGATTGGTGGTGGAAGCAAGATAACGAAGGGGGGAGTCCGGGACTGTGAAGGATTATGTGACGGAATGGATTGGAAATGAAATTAAGAAAGAAAGGCCGAAGAGTGAATGGATTGGGGCCTCATCGAGTTCAGGAACAATTGCAAAAATGGAGAAAAGGAAGAAGAAGAAGAATGATAATCGGAAAAGGTTGGATTGGTGGGTGTCATTGGATGATGACAAGAATGTGAAGAGAGAGAAGAGGAGGCCGGCGAGAGAGTGGTGGAAGGAGGAGTACTGTGAAGAGCTTGCTAGGAAGAAAAAGAAGAAGACGAAAAGACAAGGATCGGTTAGTGATGGTATTGATAGTGAGAATTGGTGGCCGAGGGATGAGGAATTGTCTGTCAATAGAAAGAAGAAGAGGAGTAGGAGCAGGAGTAGTCGGAGCAGCGTGGATTGGTGGTTGGATGGACTTAGTGGTGAGCTATGGAGAGCTCGGGGAAAGAGTTTTGATTCTATTAGTGGGGAAATTCCGAGAAGTGGTGGTATTAGTAGCACCCCAAGTATGAGGGGGACTGTATGTTACATTGCACCGGAGTATTGTGGCGGTGATGACATTTCTGAGAAGTGTGATGTTTATAGCTTTGGGGTTCTGTTACTTGTTCTTATTGCCGGCCGGAGGCCACTTCAGGTGACAGGATCCCCAATGTCGGAGTTTCAACGCGCCAATCTTTTATCTTGGGCGCGCCACCTTGCCCGTGCAGGGAAGCTTATTGATCTAGTTGATTTGTCTATTGAGTCTTTGGATAAAGAACAATCTCTTTTATGTATTACAGTGGCTCTTCTGTGCCTACAGAAGTCGCCTGCTCGTCGGCCTTCCATGAAAGAAGTGGTGGGGATGCTTACTGGAGATTTAGAACCACCACCGCTACCAGTTGAAATTTCTCCTTCACCTCCTTCCCGCCATAAGTCACATAAGAAGGTCCGGTGAGTTGGTAGAATTCGGTGCCAATTGTCATGAACAGTAGTGTGTTGTTGTAGTCTTGTACATTATTGTTTCCATTATCTTTGTTGATGACTAATGTAAAAGCAAAATTTTCATATTCAATGGATTTGAGAACTTTTAATTACTCTGCTTTTTGATTGATACTTCATACTAGTGTTGCTAAAATCAATATGTTCTTTTAGTTTTGCCATGATTGAAGGGCTAATCAAGGACCTGACCCACTTTAATTTCTTTTACACTGAGTTTCAGGAATGCCCAGAATAATTGGACGCCTTTATACGTGTAGAAATACTTTTTAGTGGTGAGCCCATCTTGATGTTTAAATTTGATCGGTGTACTGAATAAGCATCTTGTTTTTCTTAGTAGAGAGTTCCTGGGCCAGGGGTAATCATCTCTAATTGTTTGCTACTTTTTGGGACTTCACCAAGTTTGAATGACTGTGGTCTTATAAAAAGGGTGGACCCAATGCACGACGCTCTCACCATTGTGGGTCTGGGAATGACTGCAGTCTTATACATAAGTAAATTAGGTTTATACAATCACTGTTTTTGATGTTGTCATTAGACATGGGAATTCCAGATAGTGCTGCATATATTAATGTGTGATAGCAATAGTTGCAGGAAAGCACAATGAGGTTAGTTTACAGTCTGCTTGAATCAGTGGTGTTCCTGGCCCTTTTGCCAAATTGTTTTCGGGCATCACCAGGATGTTCTAGCCTAAATATTGGCTGTTCCTAGGCCATAGTTAGAATCGTTATCCAATATTGAAATGATAGATAAATGTATCTGTTGTCTACATAAATGTTGCATGCTCACAAGTTCACAGCCAGATAGAATGTAAACCGAGCATCCTAATTTCAAGATATCAGCTCTTACTGAAACAGTGGTTTTTTAAATTTTAACCTTTTTTGTGTGATTTTATTCACAAACACAATGAAAATAATGCCAGAGTCTAGTCTTTATGCAGCCCCCCTTCCAGTACCTTTGCAGTGGTGAGGCCATCACCGGCTTTTTTTTCTTTGCAATTTCTCCGTTTGTTAGTCAATGATGGTGGTATATTGGCTGAAGAACAGATATTGGACCCCTTTCAATTTTGGGGCTTGGTGATGGTTGTTGGGTTTTAATTGTAGGGGCTGTTGCTTATCATGGAGCTGAGACTAGTTATGGAGGATAACTGGATAGGATAGTGCTGGTTGTACATATTCCATATTCTCATCAACCTTGGCAGATTCTGTCCTGCTGGTACATATTCTGGATTGTCACCATACTTGACCGATTCTAAGTGTCCCTTAGGTGAGTTGGGATGCTGTTGTGTTCACTCAGTAGTTTAAACAAAAATTCTCACATTTGGTTGTTACTTGCCATGAAAACTGCCATCGGGAGCAGGTTTTAGAACAGAAGACAATAGATTTATGTATCACGCGGAGAGAAATCATGTATTTATATGGCAGATAGATATCGTAGTGCAGATGAAGAGATGTGAAAAAATATTCTTTTTTTTTTGTTTCAATTTTCATGCAATGTTACTGGACTAGCTTCTTGATGTAGCCTATGTGGTGGAGATTTTGGTATTTTATTTGAACAGGTTACATTTCGTTCAACTAGGAAATTCTGGAAGATTTATTTTATTTTCTAATTTAATTAGGAAATTAGTTTATTTTATTCTCTAATTCAATTAGGATTTTATTTGATTTGATTTGATTTGATTTTCTAATTATTTAGGATTCAAGTTTCCTAGTTTGTTTAGGGTTTCTATTATTATATAAACTCTTCTAAACAATAATATTACAGAGGAGACTTGTCTCTCTTTTTCCAATTCGTCTTGTATTCTTAGGAATCAACAAATCAATTGAAGCCTAGAGTAGGATTCTAAACCGGTATTTGTGCTTAGTTTTATTATCCCTTTTTGTTCATTATACCCTTGTTTTCACAAAAAACTACTGATTAATGTGTGAGTTGAGGCTTGGTATTTACAGGTCACGTCAAGGAGCAGATACCATGAGATCATCACTTGGAGGATAATTTAGTGCTGCATAATGATGCTTTTTCTAATCCACTAGGTTCTCATAGTTTCAGATAAGGTTTAAGTTTTCTTTTATATGTTTCAATGCTTATTGTGCTGAAAACTTGGGGCCACCAAATTCATTGAAACAACACAATAAATTTCCTTATTCTCAAATAATTATTGGAACTGAACAAAATCATTTTTAGCCAAGCTGGTGTCTAGGTTGGAAACCTGTGAACAGCACAGAATCATAATTAGAAACTGTATTGTCTGAGAAGCATCAACTTGTACTCATGAAACCTTTCTTGCCAATTATTTGCTGTCCCAGAATGTCTGTATTCACTTTTGTGGTGGTTCTTCCTGGTTGCTACAAATGGTGGAATTTAGCATTCTAATTATCACTTAGAAATGCATATTAGGTTTATGTAACCAACATTGAGGCAGTTGTGTTTCATTTCTCACAATAACTGAAGTTTTACCGGAATAAATTTTTCCTTACATTTCTAGCCTAGAATATATTTTTTTGGAGGTGAAAGTCAATTACATTCTCAAGTGATATTGCAGCATTGTGTTTTGTTTAAAATTATGAGCTCTAGCTAAATGATGAAGGTGTTTATAGTGTTGGACTGCTTGGCAGAGGAATAGCTGCTGCAGATGAAGTGGAAACACTCTCGATTTATGGGAAATCAAAATGTATTTTGATCAGTGAAATGTAAAGCGGGTAATGAAGGTGATACAACTTTCCATTACCTCTGTTTTTTCCCACCATTATTTCTACATGTAGACCACTTCTGCTGTAACTTTGTCTGCATGTATTTTAGAACATTTATAGCAGAGGTATAGGACAAAAGCGAGACAGATGCAGCTACTCGACATTTTTTCACCATTAGAAACTGAGTCATTGATGTTATAACTGTTTTATTGTCCCAGTAGCAGATATTTTCTGTTTGTTCAAAGTCATAACTTTTGAAACTACCTCAATGAGCTCTTCTGAACATAAAGTGATCATGAACTAAATCCAATTTGTGTGGAAAACGAAGTAGGCAACCTGGGATAACAAGTTATAGCACTCGTTGCCATTTCACAATTACTGAGGTTGCCTCTGTTTTAAGTGTTTATAGGGATCTGCCTTTTGTGAAAAGTGGATTTGATTGGGTTCCAGTTTTCAGCTAGGTTGCCTTTTCTAACTCCTCACATTGTAGTGATTAGCAATACATGCGAGCTTAGACAATTTAAGTCTTTTATAGACCACACAACCCATAATCAATTAAAATGTATCCAATTTCCCCAATAAAGTCCTAGAGGCCACAAGAGAAACAATGCAATCGTGGGTATATGCCTGGTCTACCCATGAAGAGCAAACTTCTCTGTCTTGGGAGGCTAGAGCATCTAGAACACTTCTCTGAACTGATGTTGGATGTGTGTCTATATAAGTGTCCTTAATTTCTAATATCACTTTGTATCGAAACAAATGGGTGTTCTACTTGCTGAAGAATTTGTAACCACTTAGCTTTGGCCGCCTCCTTGCTTTGATACTGATAGTCTAGATGATAGAAGTAACCATTTACTTGAATCCTTCTTATCTCTTGCCGTTTTTGCAGTGGGTGGCTATGTGTCAAGATATTGGCCGTTGGAACTTGGAAGGGGGTGAGCATTGACTTGTCTTGGTGTTGCTAAGAATTGGAGGATCTTCTAATTCTTATGAAATTGGAGTGGAGCCATACTCGTAGTCTCTCCAAGTTTCATCCATTTGTTCCAGTCCCATAGTTGCTAGTCCCGTGTTTACCTGCATTGGCGTGTGTTGAATATTTCATTTGCACTCTGGAGAAGTAGCTTGGCTCTTCTCTGAGAACCCTCAATGGGTTGTCTGTGTTATCCTATCTGTTTATGAGATCCACGGCTCGTAACGAGTCTGTTTTGAACTCTCTGGGAGAAATCGTTGCGAATGGTCCCCCTCTTTGATAAGTGTTTTCTACCTCATAGGAACAATATGAACTGTTATTTTTTTTTTGTCATCTATCTATGTCAAAATAGGTGACTTATGATAAATCTCTCATGGGAAGGAACGACGAAGGACTTTTTCAATCGTTAATTAGTTCTTGAGCCTCACATATCATCTACCAACAGCAGATTATTCTCACATTATGAGCTTGAAAGATGACCAGTTCAAGTTTTAATCTCATATGAATCTGCATTTTTTGGAACAAGGATGTATAGATTAGCCACTGCGAGGGCGAAGGTTAATTGTCATGTTTACCATCATTGACAACTGCTAAGTGTTATACTTCTTTACAGGTTACTCTCTGCATTTTTTTCATTTGAAGATGATAACTTTGATAAGAGAAGTTCAGCTAGACTCGGAATGCTCTTGGGTATCCTACAACGACCATATATGTTTGCAAGCACAGTAAGTGTATCTCTTTGGACTCGTACTGCATAATATTATCCAGTTTGTGCTAGGTTCGCATGCCTTTAAAATGCTTCATGTTCAAAACTCAACTTTATCAAACACTTTACACGTTCGATTGGATTACCACAATAAGCATCACCCTCATCCTGGAGTGTTGAAGAAGCCCAATGAGTAACTAAGATACTTATTTATGGAGAGAGTGTGGGCCACCAGATACTCTAACTTGTTTGCTTTAATGTGCTATCAATGTGAACTTTTCTTGTTTTCCTTTGTTTCAGCTTTACCTTCTTTCAAACACTTTGTGAGCACTACCATATATAAAAATGGCTGTCATGTTCCAATTGATGTTAAAGTCTTGATGGAAACTGTGTCAGAATCCTCTTTGAATTTTCTTATGATGTGGGCGTTCACTTCCACATAACTGGGTGCTGTTCCTGTAGTGGGATTCCATGGTATAATCATGAAGTATAAATGATACCAACACCCCTCAGGCTGTGATTGTATTACAACTGGCCCCCGTGAAGTCTGAGAAATTATTATGACCCCCTTGAGGCTTGGAGTATGGCAGTATGCTACTTAACCACCAATCTTAAGAGCTATATTTATTGTTGGGGTAAAGAAACAATAATGCTACTACAGTTAACACCTTTCTGTACAACTACGATATGAATCATTAGATTAGTAGGTCGGATAAATTTATTATTTATCCTTTTTTTTAACATGGAATTTATTATGCATCTAATGGTTGTGATTGTACATTATCAGGTGGTGAAAGAAAGGCGATGCATACACTATATATATTATAGATTATAGATTATCAATGGAGAAGAGACGGATAATAATAGATGGTTTTTTTTTTTGATGAATTACTCACATGACCTCAATCATTCTAATTATTTAAGTTCTTCTATAGGAAAAAAAAAAAAAAGAGAGTAGAGAAACCAAAATGCCATTAGTTCCATAATTGGTAAAATTAAATAATCTGGTGGGTCAGACCCACAAAGCCATTTATGGATTCTATTTGGATTAGGGCCACATGTCTGTCAGCTTTGGGGATGTTTTTTACTTATATAATGCCAAAGGATAGTTGGGTCTCAATAAATATATACGTATTTATATAGGTACACAATGTATCATATACGACGAACAACATATATGATCATTCTGGTACGTTATATAAATATATATATCCACGAGATAGGTACATTAGTATTATATTGAAAAAAAGTTGTATATACGTCATTACAGGTACACAAGACACATAAAACCAGGCACAATTCAAAATTAAGGATTTCATTCACCCAAATACATACCCATGAGGTGTAGGCATCCCAAAGTTGCGTTGAATGTTCTCCTTTGTGTTTCTACCCTTCTGATGATCCATGAACATGTTGCTTCTGCCATTTATCATTCCAAGATTATCATAACCTGCTCGATCATCGGAAAGCTCTACAAACTGGATATCAGAAGGGTAGAACTACGAAAGCTAATCCTCCACCACCACTCTCACTTCTCTATCATGGTTCGTGTCACAACCATGGTTCCCCTAGACCCATCCATCAGTTCCTATATCACTCGTATCTCTTAAATTTAAGTTAAATTTATGTGATGAGGGCAAAATGGGTAATAAATATAGAATAATTGCTCAACCCCACCAACATAGGGAACACATCCAAAGTTTTTAAAAACAAGAAAGACTTTTTTGGAAATTCGCTAAGACTAAACCTAATTTACATACCAAAGGACGAACCTTAACCTAATTTACTATAGTTTTTAAGTGGGCAAATCAACTTAGCCCGTTGACCAATCAATAGTCCGTCCGTCCTCTTCTCGAGAAAATATTGGGTGTAACATTTATAAACTTCATTATGCTGATATAGTGTAATTGTCTAATAATAAGGTAACAAGTGAATCCCACATAGATAGTTACTACATGTCATGAATAAGTAGTTATTTAATTATGTAAAATTCATTTACCCATATGCTATCTTATTATTTGACGATTATGCAATGTCAATATAATAACGCGGTGGAACCATTATATACAATATTTATCAATAATGTTATGCTTACTAAATTTTTCATCTCAAGTGATACGACACAATTTTTATCATAAAATATTAATGGATTTCACTTATTTAATGATAAAACTGTGTCACATCACTTGAAAGAAAAAACTTGGTAAAAAAACTTGATTAGCATATTAGAGTTCTGTATTTGCCCCCTTTTTTTCACCCTAAGCCGTTGATAGCTAGTAGGGTAGGCCCACTCCATCGCAAACTGCTAAATGACAGCTCTCATCTAATAGAATAGATCAATAAATAATCGAAATAAATTCAGTCCAAATCCTTTTCTTCATCACAACCCTAACCTAACCACCATAAGTGACATAAACTATGTGTTCCGGTTCCGGATTGTGTTTGGCAGCAAGAAGATACGAAAGTTGCTAAGTTGCTCCAAATGGGGTGTTTTATATTCCCCTCAAAGTATGCATTAAAAACTCCTTATCCAACTCTCATGGACGTGCTTCAAAATTAATGGATGGAGGGAGGCCAAATAGATTAAGGGGCATATCTGCCAGAGCCTAGAGAGTATCCCTTTGATACTGTTCTTATGTGTTCTTGCTTTGCTTTCTGTTTTTGCGGACCACTGTACGGGTACATGCACATCAAGCAAACATGGTTCTTCTAGTTTATAATAGGGGAAAGAATAAAGAGATTTTTACCACCTAACTCAGGTAGCTTGGTAAATTATTTTTTAAAAGAGGGTAATTTTCGATTTATTTTTTAAACTCAGACAATTTTTTAAAAATTGATGTTTTAATGCCAAAAAGGAAAAAAATATCAGTCCAAATGATGTATTCTGAATATATTAGTGTAAAAAACTGACGTTTTTAAATTTGATCATATCCACAACACCCAACCTAAGACAAATAATCAACATAATCTTTTAAAAATGTCACTATCTTACAGTGATTTGATCGCATTAGTTGGATTGATGTGTTCTAAGCATTTTAGGTTTGCTTAGATCTCGCTAACCTTTTTAGGTTAAAGATGTCAGTTAGTTAGACTGACATTTCTCTAAACTGCTTGAATTTGAGAATTAAGTGGAAAACCATGGTCTCTTTCGGAAAATAAGTTGAAATGGGTATGATAAAAGGCTCATAGAATATGTTGCTAGGTTAAATATTCTTTAAGAGTCCAAAAGAAAAACAGTTTTATTTTAGGTAGATTTCAAATTCCTTATTTGTAGTCTTTAGAGGATTAGGGTTTTGGTATATCATATAAAGTTTTTATATTTTGGGCAACCAATAATATTCGAGAATAATATTTTAAATAATTTACTTTCATATTTTCTAGGGAAATTAATGTCATTTTACAACTAAAAAATTTATCACTTTTGTGGGTGATTTACCACTTGTGTATATGTGTTTACTACCATACTATAGTAACTATTTTTACTTTTTTTTTTGGTACAAAAAAATTATCACTTTTATGAATGATTTATCATATTTGTGAGTGTTTTTATTACTATTGTAATAACTATTTTTATCGCTCTTTTTATAAAAACAATTATTATTTGTAAAAACAATTATAAATGTGATAAATTTTGGTACGGTACCAATTTTTTTTTTTTTTGTACCATAGACAACTCCTAAAATTAATATAGACTTCATGTACCCTTACCAAGTCTGGACAGCCCATTGAACTCAAATGGTATGAAAATATATGTGGTCAGCTTTGGAGATTTTATAGGTGTAATATTGCTCCACCATATCCCACTCAAGTTGGTTATATTCAAACAAGTTGGGATGAGATGTAAACTTATATGTAATTAATTTGAGTCTTTATTATTATAAAAACCTTAAGTTTAACCGATGCAGATATCGGCACAATGCTTTTTAATATTGATAATTTGGAAAATACTGTAAATGTCGGAATTTGTCAACTTTTAGAGTAATGTTAGATGGACTTAAAAATTATACTTGATAATGTCAACCATTGAATAGGTAGTGGGTCCCAATAAATGCTAGGACTCACAGTGAAATCAATAATTGTAATTATCAAGTCTAATTTTTAAGTCTATTTTTTAAATCTATGTAACATTACTTATTCAAAAAAACAGATAGTAAGATAGTAGGATGACTCTTATGTCACCAAAATTCCAAAGAAGGCTGGTCTACCTAGAAGTGTGAACGTAGACAGGTGGGGTTGGATTTGTACATAACAACAGTGCCCATAAGCAAGCTTTAAAAAATATGGCTGGTGAGGTCAGTACTTCTACAACATTGTTTATGAAGAAATTGAAGGGAATCTCAGCATTTGAGGCCCCTTGAAGATCTCAAACCCTAACAAACGTATCTCCTTCTTTATCACCTTCTTCCATTGATAGATCAGAAAAAGCTTATTAATTGAAACTTGGGTAATCTTTATACAATGCTTCCTTTCCAACAAAGCGATGAGCTGGTGTTTCAGATCCCTTCTAATCCTGACCAAATCCAACAAAATCTCAGCACGATCGGTCATGATTCAGTGGGAAGCAGTGATCTTAACAACTCCAACATGGAAGAAAGTCTGCGAACCGATGAGAATACTAATGATCATGTCAAGAAGAAAAGAATTATGCATAGAGATATTGAAAGGAAAAGAAGGGAGGAAATGAATAGCCTTTATGCGTCTCTTCGTTCACTTCTCCCTCTTGAATACATCAAGGTGGAAACTGTATTTCTCTTCCTTTCCTCATTTTTTTTTTTGTTAGTGAAACTCCTTAAGTCCTTATATAAGTAGAATTATGCCAAGAGATCATGCGTGTCAATGTTTCCCTAAATTGTTTCTTTTTCCTACATCTCTCTCTCACTCTCACTCTCACTCTCTCTCTCACACACACACACAAACACGAGGTAAAATTGTATATGGGTATGAATAATTAGGCCTCTTGGTTGATGGTGTTTCAGGGAAGGCGTTCTACCTCAGATCACATTCATGAAACTCTGAACTATATAAAACACATGGAGAGGAACATCAAGGAATTGGGTATCAAGAGAGACAAGCTGAACAAGATGTTTAATACAAATGATGTTGATAATGGAAACGAAAGCTCCAATAGTGGCTCTCCTGTGTGTGTCAATTTGAGCCCATGCAGTGGTGGCTTGGAGGTTTTAATCAGCTGTGACTTCAAAGAGGATGATTTTCCCATCTCAAGAGTGTTGGAAGTACTGCTTGAAGAAGGGTTTACTGTTTTTAGTTGTATTTCCACAAAAGCAAACGAAAAGTTGCTTCACACAATTCATTCAGAGGTATTGTAAACAAGTAATTCTTACTTCCAGGTGTAGGGTTTCTGTGTAGCTCAGATTTTTTTCATTATTACAGATATATTTAACTCGTTTTGTGGATCATCCTTGCAGGTCAGTGATTTGTCTTGTGTTGACCTTTCTGCACTGAAACAAAAACTGACTGTGGTTAGTAATGTTGAGTGAAGTTTCAAAATAACAGCGTGACTACTTTTTGAAGACTAATCGTAGCCTCATTGTGATCTGTTTGAAATTGAATACGTAAAGGGAGTTTCTTATGGGTTTTCCCTGTTCCAGGTTTGAATTTTTAGGTACTGAAATGAAACTTAAACTGTTTGAAATTTTTATGGTTAATCCTACGGAATGTTGTTGGTGATTTTCACAATGGTCACATGTGATTATGAGTAATGAGTTATAGCTTAGCTTAGGAGTACTGTGATTGGTATTTCTTACAGTCCAGCTTAATCTATTCAAATGACTTGTATATTTAGTAAATATTATCGCATTATCATTGACAAATAGTATCACCATTACATTAACTACTTACTTAGAAGTGATGCACATCGCGACTCACATGGTAGCATTCATTTTATGATTCAGTCATGTATAAATTGAGTTGACGATCACTGCTTATTACTAGAAACCGGTATCTAATCTGGTTTCTACAATGTTAAGTGCCTTCCAATATGCTTTAACTCCTCTTTAATTGATTAATATATATCTTCTTAGCTAAAATGCAAGTTAGTCAATTCCATGTGACTATGCATACTTGTTGTGTTGATCTTTGCAGCAATTCTAATTAGATTCTCCATTTGCTTCCAAACTTTTATCCCAGAGTTAAAAAAAAAAAAACAATCAAAAGAAGAGTTGAAGCAAAGGAAAAGTGCTTAAATTGAATTGTCAAATCTATTGAGTGAATACAACATTTAACATATATATATATATATATATATATGGTTAGAGTATGTGTGGCTCATATTTGCTGTGTGCATAATGACAAGGAGACAGATGCCGGAGCGGAGCCCGCGACGGCGTCTGTCTTGCGGGATTTAAATAAAGGGGACGCTGATTAGTTGGGGGTGCGGGGGCAACGCCCCCGCGGTACGGTACAGGGGTATTTTTGTAAATACGTCCATATTAGGGTTATATAAATACTTAAGATGTAACCCTATTCTATAATGGAAAAGATCGGCCGCTCGCTCTCGTGGATGTAGGCATATTGCCGAACCACGTAAATCTCTGTGTGTTATTTTCTCCTGCTTTCTTAATTGTTTGATTCCTTACTATTCACCATAATTGTTGCACGATCACAACAATTGGTATCAAAGCTAGACTACGATGTCTGGGATTTCCTCTACAAAATTCGACATCATGAAGTTCGACGGAACTGGGAATTTCGGATTATGGCAGAGGAGGGTGAAGGACCTGTTAGTGCAGCAGGGCATGGTGAAGGCATTATACGGAAAACAACCGGCAGGGATGGACGACATGGATTGGAAAGAATTGGAAGCGAAGGCTGTGGCGACTATTAGGCTTTGTCTGGCTGATGAAGTGATGTATCACGTCATGGATGAGGAATCACCGGCGGAAGTTTGGTTGAAACTGGAAAGTCGGTATATGTCCAAGTCGTTGACGAACAAGCTCTATCTTAAGCAGAAATTATATGGTATTAAGATGTCAGAGGGCTCGGATTTGACCCAACACATCAACGTGTTCAATCAGATCATCAGCGATCTAAAGCGAGTTGATGTGAAGTTCGAAGACGAAGACAAGGCGCTGATGTTGCTGAATTCCTTATCGGCGTCTCCTACGTACGAGAATTTGGTTACGACTCTGATGTAGGGGAAAGAAACCCTCGAATTGGAGGATGTCACAGGTGCTCTGTTAGGTTTTCATCAGCTGAAGAAAGCCAGTGATGAGGCTTCACAAGGTGAAGGGCTTGTGGTGAAGGGTAACCAGGAACGTGGAAGAAGCAAATCTCGGAATGGATCGGGTAACAATAAAGCCCGGTCCAAGTCGAGGAAGAAGAAGAAGGACGTCTCTGTCTCGTGTTACAAGTGCGGGAAAAAGGGGCACTTTAAATGGGGCTGTCTAGAGAAAAAGAAAGGGGATTCAGAGAACAAAGAGGGTGCATCAAAGTCTGCAAACGTAGTGGAAGAAGAAGATTAAGAGAGTGGTGACGGAGATATGCTTTCTGTTTTATCTAGTTCAGATCGTTTAACAGATTCTTGGATTATGGATTCGGCATGTTCCTATCACATGACACCCAACAAAGATTGGTTTGACACCTACAGGTCAATAAATTCTGGTTCTGTTCTGATGGGTAATGATGCATCTTGCAAAGTTGTTGGAATAGGAAATATTAGAATTAAGATGTTTGATGGTATGGTTAGAACGTTGTGTGATGTTAGACATGTACCGGATCTAAGGAAGAATTTGATTTCATTGGGCACTTTGGATTGTAATGGTTATAGTTACAAATCTATAAGTGGATTAATGAAAGTAAGTAAAGGCATGCTGACAGTGATGAAGGGACAGAAAGTAGTAGGAAACATTTACAGACTGCTGGGTACTACAATTGTAGGTGGAGTTGCTGCTGTAGAGTCTGAATCAGATAATACAGCCTTGTGGCATATACGGCTGGGTCATATGAGTGAGCGTGGGATGATAGAGCTTCATAAGAAAAATCTATTGAAGGGTGTCAAGACATGCAAGCTCAATTTTTGCAAATATTGTGTTTTTGGAAAACAGAATAGGGTGCAGTTCAAGACAGCCACACACAAGACAGAGGGGGTTCTCGACTATGTCCATACAGATGTTTGAGGACCAGTTAGCGTACTATCACGGGGAGGATACATGTATTTCGTGAGTTTCATTGATGATTACTCACGAAAGGTCTGGGTATACTTCATGCGGCACAAGTCAGAAGCGTTTGCCAAGTTCAAGCTGTGGAAAGCTGAAGTAGAGAACCAGACAGGGAGGAAGATTAAATGCCTCAGGTCAGATAATGGTACTGAGTACACAGATTCAAAGTTTCAGGAGTTGTGTGAGCAGCATGGGATCAAGAGACACTTCACAGTCCGCAAGACACCACAACAAAATGGTGTAGCGGAAAGGATGAACAGAACGATAGCCGAGAAAGCTCGGTGTCTCAGGTTGAATGCAGGGCTTGCAAAGAATTTCTGGGCAGAGGCAGTGAATATGGCATGTTTCTTGATTAACAGATCACCGAGGGCAGCACTAGATGGGAAAGTATCAGAGGAGGTGTGGACAGGCAGTGAGGTAGACTACTCTGGTTTGAGAGTGTTTGGATGTCCAGCCTATGTACATGTTTCTAGTGAGGAGAGGTCGAAGCTTGATGCGAAGTCTAGATAGTGTATCTTTCTGGGATATCAGAAAGGAGTGAAAGGCTTCAAGCTCTGGAATCCGAAGGCAAACAAGATGGTGATCAGTAGAGATGTGGTTTTTGATGAAAAAGCCATGTTGCAGCGTACTCAGGAAGAAGAGAAACAAGTACCAGAAAACTATAGCACTAATGACCATGTGGTGCAGGTGGAGCTAGAGAATCATGGTAAAGAAGAGGATGCTCAGCATGTAGAGCGTTCTATCTCAGGTGATCAATAGCATCATAGTATAGCCACAGACAGGCCCAAACGCAATATCAAGCCACCTACCAGGTATGGTTTTGAAGATTTGGTTTCTTATGCGCTTATTACTAGTAGCGGGGATCCTACAACTTTTCAGGAGGCAGTACAAAGCCAAGAGAAAAGTAGATGGATGGGTGCTATGGTGGAGGAGATGGAGTCTCTGCATAAGAACCAGACGTGGGAGTTGGTGGAACTTCCCGAGGGGAAGAGAGCAATAGGGTGCAAATGGGTGTATAAGAAGAAAGAAGCAGTATCAGAAAATGAGGGAGAAAAATTCAAGGCTCGTCTAGTAGCAAAGGGTTACTCACAGAGAAAAGGGGTTGACTATGATGAGATCTTCTCCCCCGTGGTCAGACACACTTCCATCAGGACAGTGTTGGCACTAGTAGCACATTCAGATATGCAGTTGGAGCAGATGGATGTAAAGACAGCTTTCCTTCATGGCGACTTGGAGGAACGGATTTACATGGTACAGCCAGAAGGGTTCAGTCTCCCTGGAGAGGAACATTTGGTCTGTAATTTGAAGAAATCACTTTATGGGCTGAAGCAGTCTCCGAGGCAGTGGTACAAACGATTTGACTCTTACATGATCCGAATTGGCTACAAAAGGTGTGAGTATGATTGTTGTGTCTATGTAAAAGGGCTTGATGATGATTCATTTATTTTTCTGTTATTTTATGTGGATGATATGTTGATTGCTGCCAAGAGTATGAGTGAGGTCAACAAGTTGAAGACTTTGTTGAGTAGAGAATTTGACATGAAGGATTTGGGTGCTGCCAAGAAGATTCTTGGGATGGAGATTCGCAGGGACAGAGCTTCCAGGAGATTATGGCTATCTCAGCATAGCTATGTTGAGAAGGTGTTGGACAGGTTCAGCATGAGTTATGCAAAATTAGTAAATACACCTTTGGCGAATCATTTCAGATTGTCTACCGCTCAGTGCCCGAAGACAGATGATGAAGTTCATGACATGTCAAAGGTCCCATATACTAGTGCAGTGGGGTGTTTAATGTATGCTATGGTTTGTACAAGACCAGATTTGGCACAAGCTGTCAGCGTGGTTAGCAAGTTTCTTTCAAATCCGGGTCGACAGCATTGGGATGCAGTCAAGTGGATTTTTAGATACTTGAGGGGCACTACAGACTATGGCATCAGGTTTAGCAGACAACAGAGTGACCCTTCAGTTATGGGATATGTGGATGCAGACTATGCAGGGGACTTGGATGACAGGAGGTCTACCACAGGTTATGTGTTTACTCTTGTGGGAGGACCTATTTGTTGGAAGTCCATGGTACAACCTATAATTGCACTATCTACTACTGAGTCAGAGTATATGGCAGTAGCTGAGGCTGCCAAAGAGGCTTTGTGGCTTACAGGTTTAGTCAAGGAGCTGGGTGCCCAGCAAGGTGGAGTTCAATTGCATTGTGATAGTCAGAGTGTCATTTATTTGGCAAAGAACCAGGTGTATCATGCGAGGACCAAACATATAGATGTGAGGTTTCATAAGATCAGGGAACTGGTTTCTTCTGGTGAACTATT